GGAGCCATAAATTTTTTACAGAGGGGGCACATCATGTATTGAAATTTATTTTTCTTTATGGTGACATTTTAATTAATTTTTTACTTGATACAAATTAATAAATTTGATTACTATACTTTATTATTTTACATATCACATTAACTATCTATTCATATTGATACTAGCAAAAGATATTGTATGTACTTAGTTAAATATACGCACTAACAAAAATCAAATGGTAGTTTATTACTACAATCAAAGTCAAAGTAGGACAAAAAGAGAGTATGGGTAGTAATAATAGTGGAAAAGGGAGAGAAGAAAAACACAAAAGGCACTTTGAAGTTAAGAAACCCAAGGTCTCAAGAACACTGAGAGGGGGCATAGGACCCCCTGGGCCTTAGCTCCCTTCGCCCCTGCACTACTTGGGAGATCGACGTCCATTGAACTTCAAGCACTCAGAATGGGCGAAATTTTATCTTTAGGACATTTCCAATCAACAAACCTCTATATTGTCAATAAATCAGTCTTACCTTTCTTTTTACTGTAATACTGTCTTTATGAAAGAAAATTCTGATTCTGAGTAGATAAAGATTGGTGCAGCATAAATGTACTTTTGAAAAAAAATTAAATTAGGGCAAGATAATGAAAATATATAATATATACGTATAAGACTATGTAAGAATGTTTACATATTGATTGGAAGTTAATTAAATATATCAGTGGCTTAAGATTTGTATAAATTATATAAACATATAATATAATAATAGGAAATATAAAACTCAATCCGCAATCACTTTAATAGCATATTTTTATATATATTCTAAATGGGGAGAAGGGTTTGGGTCAGGAATTAAAATACCATCCCCGCCCCTACCCAAACACCATACCCAAAGAATTCCCCGTACTCGTCCCCATACCCGTTTTTTATTCTTCATACCCGACCCATTAGGGTCGAATCCCCTGTAGACATGGAAATTTTAGTGAAATAAACATTCACTAAATTACAATCAATAGTCAAAATTCAAAATTTGACTAGTATAACTGGAAAATTCGTGGATCCCACACAAATAGACGTGGCACATGACTCACGCAGACAAAAGTGTGAACCGGAGATGCACATGTTAGCATCTAAGAGCTTCATCAATCAAATGAAATCATATGCCAAAAAGGAATAAATTATCCTTATTTGGTCATCTTCCCAAATCACGAGTTAATTTCCCTAAATGAAGGATTTTGACTTAACTAAGAGCTAAATTAAATCAATTAGCTCAAATTAAATCAAATCAGAAATCAATCCCACAAATCAAGGGATTCAGATTGAGGATTCCAAACCAAGGCCCAATTCTTTGCCTATAAATACCAGGCTCATATTCAGAAGAAAGGGGCTGGGAAAAGAAGGCTTAGACACCCAAGCACTCAGAAGAAACAGAAAACTCTCCGCATTCTTCACCTCACTTCGGAAGAGTCACCAAGCACAACAAATACGTGCCGGTTCCTCCACCCTAGAAAAATCCAAACACCCAAACAAGCCTTGTGCTACTCGTTTGATCAAGATCAAGTCTCTACGACCCTTGTATCAAACACAACTTTTCTTTAAACACTTTGGAGATCGAATCAGAGGATTCAATACAGAGATTGTAACCCTTAATTTCATTAATACAAATATTATTTTGTACACGTGTTCTTGTCTCATTTGTCGCAGGAAATTCGTGTTTACAAATTTGGTGAAGATCCTTAC